TAATTAATATAATAATATATATATATATATATATATATATATATATATATACATATATATATATATATAAATAATATATATATATATATATATGTGTGTGTGTGTGTGTGTGTGTGTGTGTGTATACATTTAAAGATATACATATATATACATATATATATATACATGTGTGTGTGTGTACAAAGTATATATTCCTGTAGAGAGTTAAATATGAAACTTTGGTGTACTATCCTACGTGATGAGCATCTCTGTCTAAATCAGGGATTCCTACATAATAATCACAGCATATCATTAAGTTATCATGGATAAATTTACGAATGTAGACTGACAAGCGTTATAAATTGGCTCGCAAAAGAAAATTAAATGACTGCAGGAAAATTATCGTCGCTGGTTTGAGTTGGTTTGTGTGCGGATCCCATATATCTGAATGGAAGGTAAATAATCATCGCATATTTCTTTTCAGAAATGTTAAGTGGGCACGTAGAGTGATTAGCAGATGCCCTCGGCCATCCATTGCGCATAGCATACTTGTACAACAACAACAAAAGCCCCAAACACACTCTTAATACGGCTTGTATTAACTATCCTTACCTGAGGGAGATGTTGTTGCGAGCGCGAGTATGATGCCTCCTCGGGGCCAGCATCTCGCCAGTCGTAGTCTCGCTCGCCTTGCATGGGTGGCAGAGGGGGTCTCCCAGCGTCCCCGTGCATGGCCCTGTCCATATCCTTGTCGCGCATACGGTCCCTATCCCTATCTCTATCTCTATCTCTGTCGCGGTCTCTGCTGCGGTCGTCAGCGTCTCTATCGCGGCCTCGGCCTCGATCGTCGCGGTACCGGGTCTGCAAATAATACGATGGAGTGGTCGATGGGTGAGCTCGAGTGGCAAGCGTTTTGTATGTGCTCAAGCAATTGGCAGCGCCGCCAAATATGGTTGACATGGTATGCAAATGTGTCTTATAGAGCATCTTATTAGCTATCGACCACCACGAAACCAAATGCATACATATATATATATATATATATATATATACTCATACATAAATATTACACGCAACGCGTATCAGACTGTGACCGTCGTAATAATGGCACATGAAGGTGGTGATGATGTGATAATGCAGTTCACATAGCACCGCGGCATACATATCTTCTACATATACATGTACACGATGCGCACCTGCTTGTAGTCATCGTAACGGTCGCGCATTAGATGGGCCTGCATTGACTGGGCAGTGGACGGTGACGCTGAGCCGAGTGGCGGGGGTGGCGATGGGGAGCGAGAATAGTCTCTGCCTCCGCCTCCGCGTTTACTGCTGGGAAGGTCGTTGCCATGGGTACCACCAGCATTTAGTTTTGGTTTGGAATCAAAGGAGTTGGGGCCGTTCCAGTCAAATGCACCTGCACATTAGAAGTAAAAATGGCAAAATTTTATTTGAATGCATGTACTTCTTTAGTAGCGAGTACTATTGATACAACAGAGGACAAGATGAAAATACATATCTCTATGTAACATCCGTGACTAGCAAACGTGCACTAACACGTACTCCTTCACGTAGCCCTCATTGCTCCGTTCGATTGTGGGCACGGAGGAAGACAAACAGCCCAACATCTCAAGCACAGACGACATTTACAATACGAATATCCATCTAGAAAGCTCATGCAATTGATAGCTGCGACCAGGCTACCGTCCGATCCAAACAAGTATTGTAACGAACGCATTATACCCAAGATACACACCTGCCAAGCTCATATATATACAAGCCGCTCAGCAAAGTTGAGGCAGTAGTAAAATCAGTCAAAACAATGGAAAATCCGATGGGGAATGAAGTGCTACGTGAGCAATCACTACTCTCCACAACTTACTCAAGAGTCTTGGACTCATCACATTGAGACAAGTAAGACTATATTTCGCCTTCTACATACATTGCACAGATAAATTCACATTTCTCGCACAATTTCTCAAATGATTTTCCTTCAGTAGTAGGTCCAAGTGATGCATTTTCTCGTACTACAACTGGAAATATACAGACATAATTGCTGAACTACAGGACGTCTATGTCTATTCTTGTACAAGAACAACAGATTTAGCTTGAATTCTCCCTTTAACCGTTAACTTGATAAAAATACCAGTCCTACTCCCCCACCGCCCCCTCTTGCTAGACGCGAGTGGATATGATAGAGCTTTCTACCTGTGCATGAGGCTGCCCACAAACACAAATACACACCTCCTTTCTCCCACATGGCCTTAAACTGAGGGAGTGGTGCGTAAGGGTACTCCTGAGACCGATAGGGCCGCTCAACCATCTCGCGCTGTCGCTCTATAGCAGAAGGATCGGGTGATCTGCTATCATTGCCCAACCAAAGAGATCCGCCCCGGGACCGCAAATCTGGTGCGGAATTGTCCTGAAAATAATACACAGGGGTGAAATATGTGAATGGGAACGGGAGATTGAGACGGAGCGAAGCGGGGGAGGAGTGACGCGAACAGCGATAAAGATGGGGACGCGAGTAGACGAAAAGTATCTGATCAAAAGTTGTAATATTTGTAGTGTGCATTGAACGTGCGTCTGTTTTACAGAGAGCAGCCAGAACTGCGTTTTTACCTAGAGTCAGGGTTTGAAGGCCGAGTATAAATCAGAGCAGGTCAATACCTATGCATCTGAGTTGCGAACAACAACGGAACTATGTACTTTTGACACTCTTACAGTTCCTTTTACATCATTAAAAGCGGTGTGAATTATCCCACTAACCGGTACGCGCGACGAAGAAGCCCGCCAACAAGGTTTAAAATAGTATACATCCCCTTTGCGTACGCGACTGGTTTGTTATCTGACCCTTGGCACCCCTGAAACTCAAAAAACCTTCTAACCCCTAATCTTAAAACCCCGAAACTCCTACCTGATATCGGTTGTCGTGGCCACCGTCGTCGTATCTGTCCGCGGCTCGTCGGAAGCCGCTTTTTGGAGACTGCGCCCCACGAGACAATGACCGTGGGGCTGGTACTGGGGGAGGCGAGGCTGTACAAACGACAAAGGAACGCATTAGTTGCAGTAGATATAGCAACTGGGTTGCACTCGCTTGGATACTTGAGCGCTTTTGTGCGTTCATGCACGTACAACGACGTGCCAACATACACCACACACGTACACGCAATTAAACGAGAGTGGGAGAACAAACTAGCTGAACAGAAGCGAAAATCGTCAAACGTACCGCGGCTGTCGCGATATTGAGCCACCAAGTCTCTGCTCTGACGTTCTAGTTCGACTGGTTCACGTCCTCGCCAGCGCTCCTCCTTAATTGGGTAGTGCTGCGATGGATGGTCACTATATGTCGGCAGGTTGGGTGGTGTTGGCCCTCTGTTGGATTAATGAGAATGACTCGAGTTGGGCAATTGCGCACAAGTGTATCCTGAAGTATGTGCATATGACGGACTAGCCCAGTAAGTAGCAGGCTAAGTACCCGTGCCAGCGGCAGTACATAGGGACCACAGCGCGCGGGTGTGTCCGGCATGTGTATCGCGTACTGACCCAGGCTGCATCATCTTTGAAAATCGGATCTCTAGAGTTTTTGCTTACGATGGTATCTACCAATGAGTGCGTATTAAACGATAAAATCATACAAAACGCACCTCTCTTATACACTACAATGCTGCCCACACCCCGTAATAACACCATTTATCCACCGTAGCAAACACAACTACACTCTCACGACACACAAGCGGCGTTTCAATGGTATATCCGAAGAGGTAGCCTACGCAAAACACGCCTTTCATTTCATCCTAAAATACCTTACACCCCGTATCAACCCCGCCTACTCACTATAGCACACTTCACTATATCAGATTCCATACAACACACCTTGAGTCGTTCCTGGCGTATGTCCGAGGCGGATAGCCGTAACCCGAACCCAGTGGGCGTGACAGCGGTGGCGGCAGTGGTTGGGGACTGGGACTGGGACTGCGCGAGTGGGCCGAGCGCCCACTATAAGCCTCACGGACACTCGAGAGCACCGCAGACCGCACATCCACATCGCCGTATGAGGGAGCTGCGGATAGGCCATTTGCAGGCGGTTTTGGAGACCGTGCTGTCAGCTGGGGCGATCTCGCACTCACCGATTCTCCTCTGCGCACAGGCATGGGCATCATGTGTGGCGGTGGTGGGGGCGGGGGCTGCTTCTCGAGTATGTTCACCGAACCCCTGATTTGGTGGAATACAGGTATGTCGATGTGTACATGCGCATAACGATCAAGTGTATTTTTTAATCGAATGTAATTATTAACATATTCCAAGACACCTAACTCCAAGCAGAACAAGTACAAATACATCCCGCTGCATAGATTTTGATCGATTGTCACTTGAGCGCATATCGACGGCCATGAGATTAAGCTAAAAGCATGGATTACTAAGGTTTGTGCAGACAATTTATAATAGGTGGATAATACACTATAAATGGCACAAATACATGTGTAAATACACACCTGTCTCTATCACGATCATCGTAGGTGTCCTGGTAGAGTGGTGCGGGTGGCTGTGGTGCGAGCGGATGGTAATTGTCCCTCTCTCCATTTCGCCCGTGTCCCTGAGTAAAACCCTCGGATTGATGAGATGACGTGCGGCTGAACATTTCATCACGCTCTCGCTCAACATGACCAGACGATTGCTGTTCAAAATAACATTAACGAACACAACAGTTATAGAAATCAGAGCAGTTCACATATATATATACTATACTATACATACAAATTTATATAAATATATATATATTAATATAGAAATATATATATATATATATGTGTGTGTGTGTGTGTGTGTGTATGTGTATGTGTATATATATATGTATATATTGACAGCGATATAAATATATATC